GAATATGCGATTTAAAAAAAAAACTATTAGTTGGACTAAAAAATTAAAACACGTTACGTTAATATGTTGAATGTTTATACATTCATATAATCTGACAAAAAATCAGAATGATTGCATGTGTATTAGTATGGTTTTTACTAGTTAAAAGAAATTTTTAGAGGTATGTTTTGATTTTTTTTTCTATCGTATTAAATTAGTGGTATCATGTTTTCAACACACTATCTAACTAGCATATATCCTGGACAGTATCATATATTTTTCTGGGTTTGTTTACTGCAGTGGATCATATACTTTGAGGCATTATAAAACTTGCGTTTAGGGTCATGCCTCGTCTTAATGGGAGACTATGTAATTTGTTACCTCTGATTTTAAATATTTTGGAAATTATAATAAACACTACGTTTTAACTTTCATGCAAAATAATAAATTAATTATTTATTAAAGATATTTATTAATTTCTATTAACTATATTTTATTACCTACTTATTTTATATTAATAATTTTATATTAATTATAATTTCATATAAATTTTATATTAATTATATTTTATTACATATTTTGATATTATTTGATTTATTAGTACAATAAAAATACTTATAAAAATATGCTTTATTTCATCATTATGTTTAATTCTATTCATCTGATAAGCTTTGTATCCTTTTTATCTAAGGGGAAACAATAAAGATTTTAAAATAAAATATACTTTTTTAGTATAAAAACAATTAACTGCAGCTAATAACTAATTTTTATTGCGTATTAGGTAAAATTTCATATAGTAAGCCACAACAACCCGCCATTGCATGTTTGTGTGTCTATCTTTATCTAATCTTAGCGACGATATTGTTTTCGCAACTTGTGTAAGTGAGATAGATATATGTTTATTTAAAATTGTTATTAGTTCCAAAGCTACGTCACGATATTAAAGCTTAAAACGAACTCGCTGTCCATATAATATTATATAGATGTATATAAACTTCAAAGTAGGACTTTTTCTGCCTAGAATTCCGACTGTGTAGGTATCGCTGTCTTACCTGAAGTTTTTTTAATAATGAAACAAACTTACTTGAGCCGTGGTAGCTCAGTGGTTAACGCTCGCTGTAAATATAATAGAACGCGAGTAACCCGGGTTTGATCCCCGCCGGCACCAATGAAATTGTTAATTGCAATTTTAAGTGCTGATTTACCACGTGCTCGGCGGTGAAGGAAAACATCGTGAGGAAACCTGCATGTCTGAGGAATAAGAAAAAAAATATTTCGAAGACATGTGAAGTTCGTCAACACGCATTTGGGCAGCGCGGCGGACACTTTCTTGCCCTAAACCCTCTCAGAAATGAGGGGGAGGCCTGAGCCCAGCAGTGGAACGTATATTGGCTGTAACCAAACAAACTTACAGTCTGCTTGGTGTACGTAGCTATGTAAAATATGCAAACTAAAATGTTGTGTATAGAATTGAAATAATACTAGTTTTTACGGAATTTATCGCGTATACCCGACGTTTCGAACGCTTTATAGCACTCATGGTCACGGGCGGGACTGAGATGTTCAACGTCAACAAATTAAAATTTAACTTAATCTATGGTAACCGCAGTTAACTATGACATATTACTGACGCTTGCATTTATAACTCAGTGAGTACGGCCAACCTCAATCGGGCTGACGTACCTATTCATGTTGCAGCATTAATATAATTATGTAGCTGATGCATGGCACTACCATGTAAAAACATAATCTATATTGAATCATGTACATACTATCGTCCACAAGCCTTCGATTAAAATATTTTTATCTCATGGTTGAATTCAAGTTGTTATTTTACCAACCAGCGGCCTCGTAATTTTATCAAACATACTATTATATACTACTGTAGTAGACGGCAAACGTCGCTGCACCAATTACCTCATTGTATTTATTAATGGTATATTTCTAGAACATATTTTATTGCTTACTACAAATAAATACAAAACGTAACTGAAAATAGTTTGATATATAAGGAAAGAAGAACTATTTATTTGTTACACACATTTAAAACAAAAAAATATACATATAGCCAGGGGCAAAAAAAGTACGCATCGATCTTACACTGCTTACGCATTAACTAATAAGAAGCTATCTATACACGCGTAATAGATAATAATAAAACTAAGGATAAGCAAGTTAACTTAATAAGATGACATTAGATACCTAAGTTTTAGTATCTACTACTTTGACCGCCTTGACATGAATGATAAACAGTCGTGTTCCTCATGACCTCATGACTAACAGTCGATTAGTGCGCGCTAAGCTAAGCTGAGCGCTTAGCGCTTAGACTAGCAGACTCGCAGCTCGCTAGACACTTTGAGCAAGTTGTCGCGAACGCGACTGTTAATCACAAGGTCACGGGTTCTAATCACGGGTCGGGCTTAAAAAAATTGTTATTGAGTTTTTCTGTCAAGAAACTATCCAGAGCAGCCCTGAGTCTTGAAATTATCGGTTTTCACCCCTATGTCTCCGATAGCACGTAAAGTCGACGGTCTTGCGCCTGATCTATACCTAAATACTATGTCTGAATACTACTATATACCGAAATATATTGTACTTTTTGTTGCTTTTGCTGTGGGTTCGACCGCGGAAGGACCACGCTACTACAGAATACTAGCGTAAAATGGCAGCTTAATATTGCTGTGTTTTGTGTATATGGTGCGTGTAGAAAAGATCTCAGGGATGGCAGCGCATCTGTTTTTTGATTGTTGGGCGAGGAAGGATGTAGATGTCTACGAGTCACAGCATTTCCTTACCGTGGACTGTACAATAGCCACTCACTGAACTGTAAGTTAGGGTGTTATTTCAGTTTGTTTGGAGTAAATTTCACATCACATTCAACCCATGTTCGATCCAAGTCGGCATCAATGACATTTGTAAAGAAAAACTTCGTGAGGAAACATGATTGTATCGAGGACATGTGGAGTCCGCACTGGGGCAACGAAGCAGGTATTTTTTTATAGAACCATGGTGACAAACGAGCACACAGTCCACCTGATGGTAAGTGGATGCTGTAGACTATATAATGTAGAATATAGATATCCACATCTATCCTCGATTAAGAATTACAATGCAGACGCGTTGTCATTCCTAAGGACTACGATGGAATGCCTCGTTTCCAGTAAAAAGGGTTATTTTACGCTGGTATTCCGTGAGAGCGTGGTCCTTTCCCAGTCAAGCCAACCCATTCGTAGTGCAACCATATTATAATAGCGACGATTTGGCTCATAGATATAATAAAGAAGGAGATAATATGCCCAGTAGTTGAAAATGTATCGGAGGTCGGTATCTCCAATTGGCCCCTACCACGCGTCAACTACTACACATACAGATTAGTAATACGAGTAGCAATAGATACGCAGTCGCGCACACACTCGCATTTTATAAATCAACGAACTACACAATTAATCATTAATAACTTCAATAATTATGTTAACTAATTTGAAGCCAAAGCCACTATTGTGATACTATCCGAACCATGCCGGTTAAGTATTTATGATACATTCGAAGCTTTTGAAAACTGTAAATTATATTAAACCCCAAAACGATAAAAATTATGAAAATTTTTCGAAGATAAGGCATGATATACGATAATTCAAACATAAAAACACTCCATCGATTATTAACTTAAAATTTAATCAACTTACTTTACGACCTTTGGTTACGCATTCAGCGTAGTAGTTGCTGTAAAATAATCAAAATAAGTAAAAAAAACATTATGTCACGAAAAACAGTATGTCAAACATTATGTCGGTCTTCATATCGGGTTGAAACGGTTGACAAATTGGAGAATAAACTATAATAGTAATTCGTCAATCCACATTATTGTCGATAGTGGATCTTTACGCGCGTACCAGCTCGTCACAAGATACAGCGGCTGTACTACGCAATATATCCGCGTAAATAAAGTATTGTTTTGTGATATTTACATTGCTTGTTGAGTCACTTGGCGTCATATTTAGGTAGTGGTTATGGAGCAATGTATTTGCTGCAAAAATATTACAGTGGCTGTGATATTTGGAAACAAAAATAACGTAGTAAGAGAAAGAAATATTTTACGATTTGTTGTTTAATATGATTTTAAACATAAATATAATGAAATACTTGTACATAGGTATGGTATGAGATTCCATGATTAACAAATGTTTGTTTTGGCTTCGGTTTTCACAAGAAACCACTGAACAACATGGCATTCTGATAATATTTCACGATGACGGTTTGTATAGAAGCTGAGCAATTTGATCACAGCGCGCGGACACAGACACGCCCCCTTGCCATTTCTCCTGTTTTTAATATTTCTATGATCAAGAACGAAACCTCTTTATTTTTATAAAACATCGTTTTGTAAGTCGACTTAATAATAAGACCTATATAATGATTTCTTAAATTTACGCGAACACTAGACCTATATAATTTCATTGTATATGTTTGTGTGTATTTTTCGTTCATATGTTACATGTTACATGACACCTTCGTCAATTGTGATCCGAATTTAACAGTTATATCTTTTAATAATTTGAATCAGGAATTTCTTTGGGGAAGTCCATTACATTAATAATGTTACAATTAAATAGCTAAGATTTGCGTTAATAAAAATAGGTAAAAAAACTTTTTTAAGTTAAACGGTTTTATGTTAAACATACATTGCAATGTTTAATATAAATGTACTAAAAACCAAAAAATAATAAAATAGATACAGTCGTGGTAAATTATAAACATATGCATAGACTAGACTAAAATAAAACCGTGGGGCACGTCAATTGTCTACAAATTATCGACTTAATCAACGATTGTAGACAATTGACGTGCCCCACGGTTTTATTTTAGTCTAGTCTATGCATATGTTTATAATTCCCACGACTGTGTCTATTTTATTATTTTTTTGGTTTTTTAGTACATTTATCTTAAACATTGCAATGTATGTTTAACATAAAACCGTTTAACTTAAAAAAGTTTTTTTACCTATTTTTATTTTCTAGTTTTTAGTTTTTATTTCGCATTCTGTTTAATTCATTTAGTGCTTCATTATTGCAAGGTTTCTTGCCCGTTAGTTTATTGCAATCCAACTCCTCTATACGTAGTCCCTGCAAAGATCTTACTCTACTAAGAGCCACGTAGGCTTGACCTTCTTCAAACAGTTTCGCACCTAAGTATACGACTGCGTGATCCACAGTGCTGCCCTGCATTTTATGTATTGTAGAAGCCCATGATAGTATTAAAGGCAACATTCTTCTTTCAGCCATCCCGTAATTGTACTTAGCTGGAAACTGTATGGCTTTCGGGTGTATAAGATGTACTCCGTCTCTTGCGAAATCAATTCGGACGGAAGGTACATCTGTTGCATACATCTGAGTTCGACGAAATTGAGGCCAAACGATTTCGTTGATGTAGCCTATAGCGCCATTTACTAATCCCTTTGAAACGTCAATATTGGACCGTAGCATGACTTTTGCCCCCACAAATATTTGCAGTTCCGCTGGTAAACCCCCAGTTCTGTTGATATCAGCTGGTATTATAGTAGCTATATCCACATTGTCTGCATTTCGTGTGGCGTGTACTAGCTGATCCTGCGCTTTTATTTTGTAAATGCGAGCACCATTATTTCTGTACAAATTCAATACAGCAGAGTTGTGGTCGTTAACTTGTTGATTTGTGGGGTATACCCTTAACGCTTTGTCTATTGCAAACTCATCACTCGTGTCTTGAAGAAGTCTTCCCATTAAAATACTAAAATGTTGGGTTGTTAGCTCACCGACTCTCAAAGCATTCAAAATATCAATAAAAGTCTGGTCACCTTGCTGACGCATATTTTTAGTTAATGCACACAGCGTGAATAAACGCCAGAGATGTGTAGCTGGTTGGAGATGTTCTGGCTGTTTGAAAACAGGTGTTCCTGATCGTTTTATAGGAGGCAGTTGTAAAAGATCACCGAAAAGTAATACGTTTACTCCTCCAAAAAACTCATTTTCACAGTTCTTAATTTGCCTTAATCGAGCGTCCATCATGCATAACATTTGATAAGACACCATGGAAATCTCGTCGACAATCAAAAATTCTGTCTGATGCCATTGTTGCCTCATTATTCGCAAATAGTTTCCGGACAGTGGTGACATACCTGTTATGCGACCGTCTTTCTGTACAGGCAATTTTAAAGTACTGTGTATCGTAGCTCCATTTATTAATCTAGCTGCAACTCCTGTTAGGGAGCAGACTTTAACCGCATCCTTTGCGTAGCACCTATTAATTTGGTCTCGTAATAACTTTAATAGAAAAGTCTTGCCCACACCAGCTCCTCCTGTAAAGAATATTTTTAAACGTTCTTCAGCACCTGACATTTGATTTTATATGGACTGGGTAACTAATGTAAAAATTTCCTTTTGTCCTGCATTCATAGACTGCTTAGCCTGTAAGAACTGGTCTTCATTCATTGGCAAATAAGAAACTTCTTCTTCATGGTCTAGTTCCATCGGCTCTGCGTGTTCCAGTATCTGAAATGCGTGTACTTGCGCGAATGCATTTTCAAGCTGCCTGTCACGTTCACGATATATTTCCAAGTAGGCATTTGTTTGTTTTAAACTTTCTTCGTTGGCGAGAAACGCATCTCTGGCACTATTAAATTCTCCTAAAAGTTCGGCCTCATTGCGATACGGCATATACTGGATTAGTAAACTGTAATAATATGACTCTGGATCAGAAGCTGCTACGAAGTTAGGTACCCGTACTACAGCTGGCGTGTTTCTAATAGTCATTTTGGTGTTGTCTGTTAAAGTTATAAGACGCCTTCTTGTTGTTTGCTCGTGCGGTGCATAAGCATCGGTATCGATGCTCTCTTCATTTATAACTGGCGGTTTTGTGTAGTGTGGCTCAAATAACATCGCAAATTCTATGAGACACATATTGTTAAAATCATAGTTGGGATGCTCTGCTGGTCGCTTTTCATATCGTTCGAAAATATTGGCACAATATCCTGCTGCTTGACTAGCTTCATTAAACTTCAACACTTTATACCTTTGTTCCGCTTTACGAGTATTGACAAAAATTGTTTTTCTCGAGCTGTCACGCATACTCAAATGGCATAGCCTGAATACGCATTCGCAGGCTGAAACTTGACGTTCTCTTAATATGCGCATCCATATTTTAAACAGCTTACGCGAGACGTCAGTTTCTTCTCTTCTAATTTATTGAATAACTCGAGATACTTCACCATCTAGGTTTGTAGGTTCTGATTTTGACACGTATTTAGCGATGTAATACGCAATCGACTCATTTGTACTACACGGTTGTATATCCATATTGGCTTTCCACATTTTTAGCAAAGCAGGACTGTAATTATTTACCCAACCATCTTCACTTTTTCTTTTCAGAACGCAAATGCGACCACCGTTGTAGATGAATTCGTTAGATGAAGGATCAATAACATGTGTCTCTAAGCATTCCGAGCGTGGAAAGTTGAAACGACAAACAGAATTATTTTTCGTGCAGGTACTAGTGTGTCGATGTATTTGACAATTTTTAACTAATTCATATAGTTCTGAAGTTTCTGGAGGAATGGCAGTACTACAGACTGAATCAATGCGAGCTATTCCTTCAGGTGTCGCAACAGATGGGTGATCTTCGATCCAAACAACCATATGCAAATGAGGACTTCCTCTGTTCTGAAACTCGATTCGCCACCAATGATCTTTAACTTTACCGCCAAATATTTCAGTATCAGTTTTAAGAAACTGCATTAGCGCGTTAACACGTACCATAAAATGTCTACTCACAACAACTGGATACATCTCGATGAGTCTCTGAGTTTCCTGAATATCTATGTCATCTGGGTCAATGTGCTGTTTACCTTCACTAACAAGGAGACCTCTTTTCATATCCTTCCAGTGAAGATCATTGCAGCTCAATGTAACAAAATAAGTGGGAGGTCATAAACATCTGATTTGTGCTATAAGATCACTAAGAGCACTACGCCAATAAGCAGCGGAACCTCTTAGATTTTTTAAATATAAGTGCAGGTCTTCCACTCGATTGCCGTTTTCACCTTCAACTTTTCTAGCACAAGCTGCAATGGTTGATTTAACTCTATAGTACTCAAACATTGATAGAGCATAGAATAGGTAATCGTTGCGCTGAAATCTAACATCAGCACCTAATAAACGAAATTGATAGTAATCCAAAGGACTTATATTTACGGGCCATTGTTCTTTCAAACCATTTTTACCATACGGGAAAAGCTGATACCATGCGAACTCTTCTGCTTTTAACTCATAAGCTTCATTCACAATATTATTATTCGTCTTTCTTCTGATTTCGTTTACATTTTCAGATACCTCTAGCTCATCTTCAACATCAGGTTGGACGCTATCAATAGGCAACATTACAGATGTTTGTATAGGTATAGTTTCAGATCTCAGATTCGAAAGCGGTTGTAGTACTTGTACATCCCGATGAGTGATGGCATCTTCCTGTTACTGTACTTGAACACCCTGACGAGTGATATTATTTTCCCTCAAATGTACGTCTACGCGTGTAAGGGTGTACGCGATATTACGGGATCCGAGGCATCTTTTACAGATGCGGCACAGTTCTTGTAAGTTGTCGCATTCTATAACACAGGCTTTGCCATTTTCTGGTGTTGGTTTTCCTTTTGGGCCACAAGAATGGGAGTCAGCAAAATAGTATTTGTCTTCACCGCGAAATACGCTAACAGATTTATTTGACGCTGTCAATATTCCTGAAGAATGACTATCAAATGATCTACATATTTAAAGCTGTATGTAATGTAATGCCGATATTATTGGTATTTACAGAATCTTGGAGACTCCCGAATAAAAGAGTGTCTTCATCATATTCTATAGAAAATCGGCATTCATACATTTGTAAACTTTGCCTGACGATATGAAAGTTTCGTATCTCTAAATATCCTGTTTCATCCAGTTCAGTAGGATCAAGCTGGGTACGAATCCAGCAATATAAGGAGTCACCCGCTAACATATTAGCATTCAGAATATTGACGTCCCATTGATTAGGGCTTAGGATTGCAGCTCGGACAATGTTCGCCAACGACATAGCACTACATTGTACACTAGCATATCGCAAAGTAAAGACGTTGTAGTCACCTTGATGCCATGAAGCTCGAATAATTCTTGCAACATTATTAATTGGAATGAATGCATTTCGAATTTCATTTTCATTCCTTTCGGACGCTTCATCTTCAGACAATTCGGGCACACTAAGTCGTACTAACTCCTGGTCACTAATTTGGGCATTGTCGTCAATACGTACATCTTTGTAAAGCGGGTTATTTCTGATTAACCATCTTAAAGCACTATAGACTTTTTCGCGACATATTGTGAATTCCCTGGTGATGTTCAAATTTTCTAATCGTTCGGTTACTACAATAATGCCTACCTGGCTTGCAGATCTTGGTAGCATACTAGGCAGTCTTTCACTAACTTCAAAGATATCTTGGGCAAATAAAACTGCCTGTCCGCGAAAACCGTACTGCCCATAGAGGCCACTAAATTTCACGATTTTAACAAAGGGAATTATTCTGCACAGCAAACGTTGTTCCGCCTGTGTCAATGTTTGAATAACGTCTGGTATAGAACCTGGATCCAGATTATTCCAGTAAGCTTTTGGTGGTGCTGTTGTTTTATTACTAGTAACATGTGTTTGACAGCGGGAACATAATAACAATGATATTTTCGAAGTTAACTCCACAGGTAAGTATGTTAATGCAGCAGCGTTGTACCGAACTGTACGAACTTGATTAGGATAACAACGTTTGGTACAAATATCACAAACATGTATACAAATTGTGTTAAAAGCGTTCTCGAATGCCTGCAGATTATTAGCTCTGCATTGCTGGGTACGCTCTCGTTGTTTATTTAACCTCGTATCGCGATGTTCAGGCGTTTCTGAACCCTACTGCTGTCTTTGTCTTTCACGGCTTTGTATTAATCTAACTTCATATTCTTCAGGCGTTTCTGACGCTACCATCTGTGTATATCGCTCCCGTTGTTTTGTTAACCTGGCTTCATATTCTTCAGGCGTTTCTGACGCTATCATCTGTGTGTATCGCTCCCGTTGTTTTGTTAACCTGGCTTCATATTCTTCAGGCGTTTCTGACGCTATCATCTGTGTGTATCGCTCACGTTGCTTTGTTAACCCGGCTTCATATTCTTAGGCGTTTCTGACGCCGTCATTTGTGTATAGCGCTGACGTTGCTTTTTTAACCTGGCCTCATATTGCTCAGGTGTTTTTGACGCTAATTGTTCCCGTCGTTTCTGTAATCGACTATTTCTATCACCTTCACTTTCTTTCTTTCGCTTTTTGAAGCCTTCGTTTACGTTGTGTTGCAGTTTCTGTTTTATTTGTGTTTGTATTTTTTATATTTTTTTTTACCATTTCGTTCCCACGAGTAATGGACATTTAAACGGTCGACCCCCCCAGAGGTCCAATAAAGGGGCAAGGCTATGTACAACAAGATGCGCCTAAGTCTTGAGGGGAAAACGCTAACGACATATCATTTTTATCCACCCTAATGCCATACAGTTCTCGGCGCGTTTTAACCTTTCACCTTAACTTGGGTGGTGTACCGCTAACGACGTATCATTTTTAGCCACCCTAACGCCACACAGTCCTCAACACGATACAAAATCTTGACTTGGGTGGTTGATTCAGGCTGGATTAATCAGATACCTAAATTACAGATTCAATTTCTAAATTTAAATCTTATTATTATACGCCATTTGGTGGCTGCGCCCATCTTAAATATTGAGATTGTATAGTGCACTGTATTCTTCTTGTCAAGCCCTTTTATTTGATACCCATATTGGTGGGATTGATAAAAAAATTGTTATCAGTCATTTGGTAGCGGCGGCCATCTTAGATTTCAATTTTAAATAGTAAATTGTATTCTACTTGTTGAGACCTTTCATTTGATACCCATATTGATGGGATTAATAAAACATAAATTATCCGCCATTTTGTAGCGGCGGCCATCTTGAATATATAATGATAATGAATAAACATAATTGTATTGTCACCAAAATCCAAAGTGTATACAAAATTTCAGATTAATCGGTTGACAGGAAGAGGGTGAAATGTGAATTACTAAATTTGACCCAAGAATAATAAATAAAACAAACGGGGTGAGCTAAATAAAACCGTTTAAAAAAAAGAATGATGTGTGTGTGTATACTATTTAGTTTTAAGATCACTTCCCACTCTCCCTCAATTTCCTGCACTATCACCAGCACCACTAGTCCCAACAACACTGCCACAAAGTTCACAAACACACACATACACGGATTACATCATAGAAATATACTTACAGGTGCATTGTGTCCATCGGCACTAAGATGTAACGCCTCACAGCCTGTAGTGAACTGGCTCTCTTTACCATTTATACCAGAACACAGCAGTGCACCAGTGTAGTACTGACACTGACAGAGTGCTGGGTAGGGAATACTTCCTCTCCCGTTGATTGTTACAGGGGAGTTAGTTGCCACAGTTGCTACGATCAGCAGGGGGAGTGGCAGTTTTATTATTAGTAAGACGCGGCTGCCACTTGACTTATTTTCCTCTGTCGCCTCTTACGATACCCGCTAGACGACATAGGGAAGTAGATACTCTTAAACCACCACTGCGCGGGTGGAAATATATGTATGCTTTATATATTATGTACAGTATATTATTATAAACTTTTAGGAATTTTTGATTCATTTTATAAATCTATAATTTTTAATATTAGTGTGCGACTTCTGCTGCATGTATCGGACACGACTATAGATACTTCAATACGTCACCTTTTTATCAAATTGTTTAATAAAAGAACTAAAGTCTCATTACTATCTCCTTTCTGAAAGAGTTACGGCCCAAAATAATCCGCTGTGCTGATACTTCAGAGGTGATAACACATCTGCTATCTGCTTTGTTTGAGTTTGGTATCAGGTGCGTATATATGCGTACGTATATATATACTGCAACATTTACTTACCACCAAATATAGACCGAAGTCTGCCGAACTTAAACGACGTTAGATGATGTTAGGTTTTCGGGTCTTAGGTTTATTTTCGTTACGGAATTTCTTGATTCGGTCGCCGCGCTCAAAGCCCGCGATAAAATCTATGCAATAGCTTAAAAATTTAAGCGTCGGTACCGTCCCGAGCGCGTGCCTCGGGTTCACTGCGCACGAGATCAAGCTTATGTACCGCGGCTACAAACAGGTCAGCTAGTTTTTTTTTTATAGAAGCTAACAAACGTAGTCACAGTCCACCTGATGGTAAGTTGCTACTGCAGTCTGTCGACATCTGCCAACAATGTGAAAAAGGACACATACATCACACTACAAATGCACTGTCAGCTCAAGAATGGAATGCTTAACAGTCTGTTATGTTTGGCAGATTTAAGTGTGAGAGTGGTATTCACCAAGACCGACCACTAGGTAGAAAAGAAGCCCTAGTAAGTGTTTATTTTTGACCGACTTCAAAAACGAGGAGGTTTTCAATTTGACTGTATGTTTTTATTTATGTGTGACCTCAGAACTTTTCCCTGAGTGAACCAATTTTAAAGATTCTTTTTTATCTGAAACCTGGTGATTTTTGTGTAGTTTCATATAAATTTAATCAAGAACTTACTAGTAGTTTTTGTCTTATCTTTAATAACGTGAATTTAGTTTTCTTCTCGCTTCAGGCTCTCTGGTGGCAACCCAAGTGACAAGTTGTAAAATAATAGCTCCCAACAATTTAGCAAAATTAAATATTGTAATTTGATAATATCCACCTCAATTTTTAGTTACAGTTGTTAAATAATACTTAATTGTGTTGGTAAAATAAGTAAAAGTCATAAGTAATTTAATTATATAGTGTATTGTGTTTCAACTAAAAGTGACAGCTGTAGGTAACGAACATCGTTTGAACTTTCTGTAAGTTATTGTAATTTTCTTGTTATCCCTTTAATATTTTAGGATTTATCTTTTAAATTAGTGCAGTTTTAGATTTCAATTTGAATTATTTACCTGATAATTTAATTTGAGATCTGTAAGTAGACCCATAGATCTAGATATTAGCTTACTCTGTTTCTTCGGTTTTCTTTCTTTGTTTTCTTTTGCTATTTACACATAATAGTAAAATGAATACACGCAACGCAAAACGCGCCAAATGGAGAACCAACTTCAAATGGCGCTTCTAGAACTTAAGGCGTCAAAAGAACAGTGTGAGCTGTTGCTTAAAGAAAGGGATGACAACGAAAAGGAAATAATAAATATAATTGCCAAAAATAGTCAACTAAAAAGTGATATGGTTAAGTTGCATAAAGACTACACAAATGTTTTAAAAGAAAGGGATCAGCTTCAGGAAACAGTCGATGAGTTTGACCGATGCAGCAAAGAATATGAGGAATCCCTCAGATTAATTGCTGCATTGCAGTTGCAGTTAAGTGAGGCTAATGAGCAGATTTTGCAATTAAAACAATACTTAGATGAATTGAAAGTGTCCCAAACTCAAAGTCTGTTCAATGAGCTCATAGAATGTAAATCATCAAAAACATTGCATCCCTCCACAACAATCGATTTGACTGGTGATGATTTTGTCACATCTAGAACAGCAGAAAGGATTACATGCAGTAGAAGAAAATTAAAGAAATACATAAAAATTAATAAATATGTTAGGAAAGTACAAAAGTTAATTAAAACAAAAATTAATACAAAAAATTATATAAATATATGTAAGGAAAAGCATGTATTAATTAATAAACTTAAATTATATGCAATTGAGGTGGAAAATATGAAAAACTGTTATGAGACTGAAATAGAGTGTCTCAATTCAGAAGTTTTGTCGCTTAAAAACTCCTTAGAAATTATCTCAAATAAATATGCATCGGCTCAGGTTGAGATAAAAGAACATATATTGGCCACGAATAATCTGGTAAAGTCATGTAAATACAATGAGGAGCGCTTTGACTCCTTAATAAAACATCAGAGTGAGAAGCAACGCTCCATACCATGTTCATCGGGGACAATATGTGTAAATAGCAATGACTCCTTATTTTCACCAACACTCTATGACAGTGCCATAACACAGAATAAAAACTTAAAAAAGTAGTTTAAATATTAAAAAACATAAAGTTATTATGTATTGTGATGACATAGGTAAAAATTTGGGCATGATGTTAAATAACCATTTGAAAGGACAATTGATTAGTAATTATTGTATGCCTGGAGCATCGTTTAGTCATATAATGAATAAAGTTTTAACCAGTAAGTTTTCTACTAATAGCACATTAATAATTCTTGTTGGGAGAAGAGGCAATGTAAACAAAAATCAATTATTAAAATATATTGATTACCTCAATACTTTAAATGTACATAAAATTATCTTGTTTACATTGCCTTACATACAGGGTTGGCCACAAGAGAATAAAATTTATTA